TAGAGCAATTCTAGATTCAGTCAGTTGTATTCACTGAGAAGAGAATCCTTTAAAACTATCCTTCAAATGACTTGAAACTTTTTTTTCCTGCAGGATGACTGTGGGGATCTTTGCAAATTGTACCTTCTGTTTGAAAGTCAAGCACTTACCTCGTCAACAGAAGAAAAAGCTACAAAATGACATTAAGGAGAATGGTGGAAAATTTTCCTTTTTATTAAATCCTCAGGTATTTGCAGATTTTGTAAGAACTGTGTGGTAAACACTGTGCATTAAGGGAGGGTAGGTTGGGGAGCCAGGATAGCTCAGTGGGTAGAGCATGTGACTCTTGACTCGGGGTCTTGAGCTCAAGCTCCACATTGGAGGTAGAGCTTATCTTAAAATAGTAAGATTAAGACATTTTTTTAAAAAGGGAGAGCAGGTCATGGTTAGAAGAGTAAGCAGAGAAAATTGGCAGCAGGAGAAAGTCACCGAAAGCAGGTGAAATTGTGACATTGCCAACAGGGAAGTGGACTGGAGAAAGGCAGAGGAGGGAAGACCATCATCCCACCTTCTCTCCATTGCTGTGAGCTGTAGGGAAATCCTACATGCCCTGTGAATCTGAGGATACTAGAGCATAACCAAAGATATAAATAGAAATAATTTCAGACCAGCCAAATCTATTCTCAAAGGAGAAAAATTATGGGGTACAGTGTTCTGCAAAAAGCCCTCTATCCAGGGGCACCCAGGTGGCTCAGTTGGTTAAGTGCCCGACTCTTGATTTTGGCTCAGGTCATGATCTCATGTTTTGTGAAGTAGAGCCCTGCGTTGGGCTCTGCGCTGATGGCACGGAGCCTGTTTGGGATTCTCTCTCTCTCTCTCTCTCTGTCTCTCTCTGTCTCTCTCTGTCTCTCTCTCTCTCTCTCTCTCTCCCTGCCCCTCCCTCTTGTGAGTGCATGCTTTCTCTCTCCCAAAATAAATAAGTAAACATTAGAGAAAAGAGCTCTCTGTGTAATCACTCACCAGTCTGTCAACCCTGGAGTGTCACCTGTACGGTGTGACCTGTAAGGGACAGAGAGGAAAACATGCATTGCAGACTGATCTTTGTGATACAGCTTGTATTGCTTGTTTTGTTTATTTAAAACCTGAAGGGAGCTTCCCTCTTTTGAAATGAATTGTAGGCCTGACAGTTTAAATATAGAATTTTGGCAGCTGGATGAAATCTTAAAAATGATTAAGGCTAACCTCTTCTTTTTTAAACACTTCATCATAATGAAATTAAAGTCTGAAGTCATTGGATCCCAGGCTTCCAAACGCCAGGCTTGCCCCTGTCTGTTGCTCCTTCCTGTGTTGCTGAACTGATGGGTGACTTCAGCCGGCCCCTTCCTGAACCAGATCCCCGGGGCTTGCTGCCAGCGAATGTGGTTTTTCTATGAAGTATGTTCAACGCCAGTGGGATACTAGGTGCTTTCTGGCACTTAAGTAGTTTGCCTGTGGTTATCAGAAACGGAATGTCTCTATTTACCTCCAGTTTAAGCAGAACTGCATAACTTTCCTTATACAGCTTCCCTCACTTGCTTGTCTCACCATTTTTTTGGGTGGATGGATGATTCATGACTGTTACACCTTCTCAGTTTATCTTCTGGGTAAAGAATAAAGAATAGCATCATGGTCTCTCCCTATTTGGAATTTCCCACATACTTTGAGTGCAACCTTTTTGAAAGTTATGTTGTCAATGTACATACATTTTTGAAATGTGCTTACCAGGTATTATAACCAAGGAGACAGCTGGGTATGTATTGTTGAGGAATGAGCTCCAAGATAAATTGCCAAGTGGAAAAGCACATTCAGAGCAGCATGTTTAGGGTGCTGCCATTTGTGGCTAAACACAGGGCTGTGTGCTTACGTGTGTGTTGCCTATGTGTACAATAGCTCTAGAAGGATACTCCAGAAGTTACAACAGGTGCCGCTGGGGAGAGTAACTGGGAACAATGGTGGGGAATATGTTAATTTATTATTATTATTACTACTGTACTTTTTAGATTTTCTACAATGTACATATACTCTTTATTGCAAAATAAATTAATAAAATTACAACTTAATGGGGCACCTGACTGGCTCAGTTGGTTGAGCATCCAACTCTTGATTTCAGCTCAGGTAATGATCCCAGGGTCATGGGATTGAGCCCTGTGTCAGGCTCCTTATTCAGCATGGAGCCTACTTGAGATTCTCTCTCCCTCTCTCTCTCTCTCTCTCTCTCTCCCCTCCCTCCCTCTTCCCCCCTTTACCCCTCTTCCCTGCTCATACTTTCTCTCTAAAATAACATTTTTTAAAAGTTAAAAAAAATAAAGTTAAAAAAATAAAAATAAATAAAATTACAAGTTAGCAAATTAAATAAATAATGAATACCTTTTGAATCTGCCATTCTACTCTTAAGAAAATAATTAAACAAGTGTACAAGAAGATATTCAGCACAGCTTTGTTTAGAGGAGTGAAAATTTGGAAATAACCCCTAGGGTTGGTTAATCCATTGTGGTACATTCATATCCATACTCTTTATTTTTTACATTTTTTATTTTTTATTATTATTTACTTTAATTTTAATTTTATGTTTTTATTGTAGAGAGAGAGTGAGAGAGAGCAAGCGCTAGCAAGGGAGAGGGGCAGAGGGAGAGAAAGAATCTTAAGCAAGCTCCACGCTCAGCATGGAGTCCAATGCAGGGCTTGATCCCATGACCCTGGTATCATGATCTGAGCTGAAATCAAGAGTGGAATGCTCACTCAGATACTCAGACTCAGACCACTCAGGCACCCCATATCCATACTCTTTAAAAACTGTGGGGGCACCTGGGTGGCTCAGTCAGTTAAGTGTCTGACTTTGGCTCAGGTGGTGGTCTCACGGCTCATTAATTCGAGCCCTGGGTCAGGCTCTGAGTGGACAGCTCAGAGCCTGGAACTTGCTTCAGATTCTGTCTCCATCTCTCTCTGCCCCTCCCCTGCTTGCTCTCTGTCACTCTCTCTTTCTGTCTCAAATATAAGTAAAACATTAAAAATTTTTTCAAAATAACCTGTTGATTTTGGGGGCACCTGGGTGGCTCAGTTGGTTAAGTGTCTGACTTTGGCTCAAGTACTGATCTCACGGTTCATGAGTTCGAGCCCTCCATGCACTGTCAGCATATGCTTTGATCTCTCCGTTCTCTCTCTGCCCTCCCTCAAAGGGCACACTCTCTCTCGTAATAAACATTAAAAAAACTTTGATTTAACTTTTATGTAACTAAAACTTATATTATTTATAAGGGTTCTAGAAAGCTGAGAATGATTACTACACATTATCTTCAAGATTCTTTAAGGGTGAAAATTGCAGATACAAGTAATATATTTAGATATTATTTTTACAAGTACATAATGATTTGGTTCTTTTTTTTTTCTAAGTGCACACATATAATCTTAGATAATGCTGATGTTCTGAGCCAGTATCAACTGAACTCTATCCGAAAGAACCATATCCATATAACAAACCCAGATTTTATATGGGAATCTATCAAAGAAAGGAGACTCTTGGACGTAACGAATTATGATCCTAATAAGTCACCAGACATCACACCACCTCCTTGTCAAAAGGCAAGCAGTTCTGGTAAGTATTTTATATCAAGTACTTAATATATTATAGGTGCTATAATAAACATTTTGGTTTGTCCAAGATAGTATAGTCAAAGGATTGTCCAAAAATATTACAAAAATAGGGGTGCCCGGGTGGCTCAGTCAGTTAAGCATCGGACTCTTGATTTGGGTTCAGGTCATGATCTTACAGTTCATGAGATTGAGGCCCGTGTTGGGCTCTGTGCTGACAGAGCAGAGCCTGCTTTGGATTCCCCCTCACTGTCTCTCTCTGCCCTTCCCCTGCACGCATACACATGTGTGCACTCTCTCTCTCAAAATAAATAAACTTAAAAAAAAAAAGAAATATGACAAAAATAATTAAACTTCTTATCTAGAATATAGGCAAATAGTGGACAAAAGACTACTTTAGCAATAGGAATAAATTTCTTAATATCCAATCTAATGTGATCAGATTCAAAAAGACTACAAAAACACTGATAATCTCAGAAAACTTGATGTGTAATTTTATCTGGGAAGGGGAAGAAACTTTGTGTTTAAAAAATTATGACTGGAAATTTTATGATTAGCATTTTGCTAAATAAGTTCTTTCCAAAAGATGATCTCTCCAAAGGAAACATATCTCCTTTATAGACCAGATTTTATTTTGGAATCTGGCCAAGAGCAAGCCTTTGGACATAGAGAAATGCAGTCTTCATGAGACACATCAAAAGTCAAGCAGTTCTGATAAATAATAATTTATAGTAAGCACATGATATATGTTAGGTACCATATTGTGTATATAAATTGTATTATTTATGAGAATTTTAGAAATCTAAATGTTTGGTATGGTGCAGCCTCTTTAGACAAATGATTGTCCAGAAATGCTGTCATCAGACTTTCTTGCTCTCAGGAAATGGTAGCTAAAACAAAATAGGCAGAATGGTAAACTCCTCCAGGGGTGCCTGGGTGGTTCAGTTGGTTAAGCATCTGACTTCAGCTCAGGTCATGATCTCATGGTTTGTGAGTTCGAGCCCCCCATCAGGCTCTGTGCTGACAGCTCAGAGCCTGGAGCCTGCTTCAGATTGTGTCTCCCTCTCTCTCTGCTTCTCCCCTGCTTGCACTCTGTCTCTCTCTCTTTCTCAAAAATAAATTAACATTAAAAAAAAAAAAGAATAGTAAACTCCTTTTACATTGAAAATGTTTTTCAACATCCAGAATAATACCCTCGGATTTGGAATTACTATAACTACATTGACGCCTTTTGATATCTTGATAGCATATATATATATATACACACATATACGTATTATTTTATTTTAGAGATAGCATGCAAGCGGGGAAAAGGGGCAGAGAGAGAGAGAGAGAGAGAGAGAGAATCTCAAGCAGCTCCACACCCCAGCATGGAGCCCAACATGTTGCTCGATCTCACCACCCTGGGATCATGAGCCAAGCCAAAATCAAGAGTCGGATGCTTAATCGACTGAGCCACCAGGCACCCCTTGGTAGCATAATTAAAACTGGAAAGAAATCCTTTTATAAAAGAAGTTATTCCCTATGTATCATAATGCCATAGACAGTGTTATGATTCTTTTATAAGAAAAACATGAAGCAAAAATTGCTTGGCTTCACATAGGAGCCCTCGAATTTCCCTCCTTTAAACTAAAACATCCCAGTTCCTTCATTTGTGACATGATGGCACTGGGGAACCACTCTGATCCTGCAGCATATTAGAAATGCATTTCATGTTGGGGCACCTGGGTGGCTCAGTCGGTTAAGCGCCAGACTTGGGTTCAGGTCATGATTTCGCTGCTCATGAGTTCGAGCCCCGCATTGGGCTCTGTGCTGACAGCTGAGAGCTGGGAGCTTAGAGCTTGCTTCAGATTCTGTCTCCATCTCTCTGCCTCTCCCCTACTCGTGCTCTGTCTCTGTCTCTGTCTCTCTCTCTCTCTCTCTCTCTCTCTCTATCTCAAATATAAAATAAAACACAAAAAAATTTAAAAAGGAAAAAAAAGAAATGCATTTCATGGGGCGCCTGTGTGGCTTAGTTGGTTAAGTGTCTGACTCTTGAATTTGGCTCAGGTCATGATCCCAAGATTGTGGGATTGAACCCTTGGACTCTGCTGGGCATGGAGCCTGCTTGAGATTCTCTCCCTCTCTCTCTCTCTCTCTCTCTCTCTCTCTCTCTCTCTGCCTACCCCTCCCCCACTTGCATGTACATGCTCTCTCTCTCAAAAAGAAGAAAGAAATGCATTTCATAACTATCCTCACCATAATCTTCAGAAGAGAAAAATGCTATTTGAAATTGTATATCTATCAATGAGTTTCACATAATACAGATTTTATTACAATTGTCCTCACATGCCTGTTAAAAGAGAATTTTAATGTATTCTCACCATCTTTTGTCTTTAATCTTTTTGTCCCACCTACTCTGTCCTTAGATCACCAATTTCTATAGCTAATTTGAGGACATCTTTAAAAAAGATACTAGCATGGTAAATATTACCTATACTCAAGAATCTTAACAATTCCAGGGTTTATTGTTGATAATTTTAATAAATCTTTGAGTAGCAAACAAGTGTTTTATTTGTTTTCTCTTAGAAATGACAACAGATGATCTGTCCCAGGACAACTCCACTGAGAAGGAAAACGTTGTGGAACTCACAGAGTAATCTACTTCTGATCATTAAGACTCTCCAGTTTTGCAAAGTATTTTGTAAACCTCAAACACAGTTTTAAAATACTATTAGTATCTCACGTTTCTTGTAGTATTTTTGTTTATCTTGCTTCTCTAATTCTAGGCTTTTATTTATTTAAGACTTTTTACTTCAACTAGTAGAGTGATAATTATTTCCATCTTAGTATTATACAAGATTGGACACGATAGTTGGATTGATTTGAAAAAAGAAAAGTTTTGGGCAGTCTGCTCACCCTGCTACCTTACAGAGAAGCCTTTAGAGTAGAGACAGTCCCTTACTCCTTACCTAATGTGTCAAAAACTGGAAATGACAGCCTTCTGCAAATGGACCATGTGCAGCTTCTTCCAGCATACCCCAAACTGTAATGTCAGTTAAGGGTCACGTTCAGCCTCATTTTATTTGTTAACCGTAGTGTTAAAAGAGAGAGCAAATACCAAAGATAAAAGTACAGATTATGAGAAGTCTGACACTTCTATTTCAAAGGGCTGTTGACTGTAGTCCAGACAATCTCTGGTGTGAGCCTAAGTGATTGGTTTCTAAGGGTCAGAACCCAAGAGGATGCAGGATTGGTGCTCTCTCCAGTGCGCTGGCCTGCTTCTCTTATGCCCTGCCTCTGCTTCAGGACGCCCACCTTCTGATGCAGACGCTCAGTATTTGGCATGAGAACTCTAAAGTTACACGCAGGAGGAATCCAGCTCATTCCATAAGACTTTCTAACCATTTTCAGAATATCTAAGGAGGCATTAGGGACTTAAAATGTATTTTGTATGGAATTAGGAGACATCCAAGAAAAATTTTATGAAAAGGCTCCTTAGTTTAAAAGTCCATTGTAGTGTTTCATTTTTCTTATACAAATTTCAGGTCTTATACAGAGAATGCTGAAATTCCTCATTTTCCACAAGATTTCGAAGTTGCAAAATATAACACCTTGGAAAAAGTAAGAGCCTGATTTGTAGTTGAAAAAATACCCCCGAATGTCTTCTGATTACTTTTCCTGTTTGATAATTTTCTCATTGTTTTGGAAAATTGTGCATATCCTGAATAAATATTTAATAGATGAGTTGATTTTTAATAGTCAAAAAAATTTTATATTTAAAATGTAACATTTAACCTCTTAGTGTTTTTATTATAAAAGTAATACCTGCTCACAATAAAATATAAACAGTACAAAATATTGATGGGAATTTAAAAGTAAAGGACTTCTTCCGTGTTTATTAATGGCTTCTTGTATTTTAAGAGTAGATTTGACACTATTTACATTATGTTGAATTTCCGTTACCACTCATTAAAAAGAAAAGGAGATAATTCTTTCTCCAGTGTCGTGTAAATGAAAACCCTCGCATTCAAAATGATGCCCCATTTGTATTTTTTAGATATTTTAATGAAATGTAACTTGAAAACAACATTCCTTCTGTGATAGAGAAAATATAAAAAGTGGTATAGTTTAAACACATACAGATAGATCTGTAGTAAAAATACAGGCAGGAGATATACCAAAATATTAATAGTAATTATATCTGTAGTGTGCTTTCTGGTAATTTTTATTTTTTCTTCATACTTTGTGTATTTTCCGAATTGTATCTCGCGTGAACTTATATTGGCTTTATAATCTACATTTTTAAATGGTGCGTGCGGCTTGTTATTTAATGGACACACGACCTATTTTCCAGGTTGGGGCGGAGGGTGGTAAGGCAGTAGCGGTGGTGGAACTGCAGTGCTCCCGGGAGGAGCCCAGGGACGCCGCCTTCCTGATATCCGCACACTTCCTCTCGGCCACCGGCGTCAAGGTATCGATCTTTATATTGATTCGTATGTGTTTATCCACCCTCGTTCATAACTAGTTTCCTTAACATTGGTCAAGGTACCGGCCAATCTGTTACCCTTTTTCTTTTTACCTGGTAAATGGTTTTGAAAAGTTGAGCCGTGTTCTCCGTTGCAATGTAGCAGCTGAAGGAAAGGGGGTGAGAGCGGCACCTTGACTAGAGCCGCACGGGGTTCTTCAATGTCAATAGGGGAATATTCAGCGGGTGCAGGGCACGTGGGCTTCCTGCCCCTGTGTCGAAGCACTTAGGGGAACTTTCCTAACGCACACACTGCTAAAAACCACCCATTCACACACTTTAAGTACCTGCTGAGTACCAAGTGATCTACCAGAAGCCAAAGATAAAAATTACTTAGGGGTGCATGGGTGGCTCCGTCGGTGAGGAGTCTGACTTCAGCTCAGGTCAAGATCTGGCAGTATACGAGTTCAAGCCCCGCCTCAGGCTCTGTGCTGACAGCTCCAACCCTGCAGCCTGCTTCCTTCTGTGTCTCCCTCTCTCTCTCTGCCCCTCCCCCTTTTGCATTCTCTCTCTCTCTCTCTCTCTTAAAAATAAATAAACATTAAAATTTTTTTTTTAAATTACTTCAAACCCTGCCCCTCAGAGGTAGATCACCACCAGGGAAGATTCATGATTGTAACCCTCTGGGACAGAACTGGGACAGAACCCACTGGGACAGAACTGATACTGAAATGTAAAGTATTGTAGGCTCACAAACAACCAGGAAGCCTTTGCAGAGCCCGAGACCTTTGCATTAGGTCACTGTCAAGTCAAGGGCATGGTTCCCATCTGAAACTATTATGACACAAAAATAAATTCAGAACTAATACCTAAAGTTCAAAGCAAATGCTGCCACACCGTCAGGGTGTCTTCCGTTTAGACAGACTTACAAGCAGGAAGCACAGCACCCACAGGGCACACAGACCCTCTTCAGGGGGAGTGGTCCTCGCAGCATGTTACTCAGGCTCTGGATGCTTCTGGCTTTGCCCCCGCTGGAGGTGCCAGCTGTGGTGCCAGGAGGGAGACTCACATCAGGAGGAGGCACGATCTACCTGACGTAGAAAGTCACCCACAGTAGCCCATACCTGTTGTAACATAGGCCTAGGTTGGAGATGTCTTGAAGGGAGATGCCCATCGCTTGCATCACTGCCCTCAGGGAAACCCAAGGCTCAGGTTTCCCACCCACCATTTAAGTTTCATTCATTGAACTCCTGGTCCTGATGCAATTTATTAATGAGAGGTCACTATTGCCTAAGCAATTTTGCCTAATATTACAGCGTCCCACCCTTACCAGCTTTCCACAGGAACAAATATAAAAAGTTAATCCAAGTCGAATGTGTCCAAGGAGGAGAAGGGGTTTTCTTAACTTTTTACCCAAAGACATGTGCTCTACTTTGTGGAGGATTTAGTTGTGTGGGTAAAAAGTAAGGAAACATCAAGTTGAAAACCATGACAGAGTGTGTTGTCACTGGTTTTCTTTACTGAAAACTATAAGGCTGCATCAGCCACTGTGTCCCCTCCTGCTTACTATCTCGAGAGCCCTTCCTGAGTGCCTTCCGGCCTTAGCAGGCGTGAGTCTGAGAACACAAGTAGAGTGCTCCTCCGGTGAGTGTGTTCACTTTGATAGAAATTATCCTCACCAACTGTGAAAGAGCTGTCCTGCAGAAGAGGCTTTTCTAGTTTGCCCCTCTCATAAAAAGCCAATTTGATGGAAACCTTCCAAAATTGTGTTAAACTCTGCCTTCTCAAATGGAGTGACTTGAACATGGTATGCTCTTTTCTTTAAGTTTCAGAGGTGTCCTGTGGCCAGCAGTGCGGGAGGGCAGTTGAGCAGTGTCATGAGTAGCCTGGCTTCTTCCTGGGGCGGCACACTCCAGAGCCAGAGGCTTGGCTGACACCCAAACCGACACCCATGGGCAAGACCTCCCCTGTTCTCTGAGGTTAATGACTTTGGGATAACTGCTCACTACAGGAGCACGGATTTCCAGGAAAAGCAGAAGAATGCCACATCCATGGGCAGGTTGGAATGAGGGAGACAGTTTGCGTCTATCCACAGGATGCCTTGTTCCACTCCCTCAACATCATTTGCGTGACCTGAGAGCTTTCTGCCTTTCTCCTTGCTGTGGTAGTATCATTTCATTTTGACGGTGTGCTTGTCCCTAACAGTACCTCATTTCTGAGCTATTTTTCTTTTGCTCCCTTCCCCTGATTTATTTTTCCCATTTCCAAAAAGCTTGAAAGCCAGATTTAAAAGCTAATTAGAATAGTATGTAAATTAAGAATGTGTAGTCTCTGAACAGACGTTTGAGTGACTCTCCAGTGAATCAAATGTGCCTCTTTTGCATGTTGGGCCTGCTCAAGCTTTTCTCCCTTTCAGGTTTTAGGCTGTTTTGTGAAGGATTGAAGATTTAAGTAATTCTTTGAAAATAGTTAATAAACTTTTTCATGGCAGGGATCCAATGCCTATTTACATTGCTTTCCCCTGTGGTACATAGGAGGCGTTCGGTAAAGACCCGTATGTGAATAAGTTAGTACATCCTCGCATCCTGACATTTTGCTCCACGCTATGATTCACAGACTAGAAGACACTTCTCTGTAAAGAAAACCTCTGCAGATGCAAGTGAGCACTATGAAAGTTACATTGAAGAACTGAAGAAACAAGGATTTCTGCTAAGGGAATATTTTACACCCGAAGCAACCCAGTTGGCATCTGAAAAACTGCAGGCGGTAAGACTGACTCATGTGTTTAGTTTTTGTGACTGACTGAGTATGTTGAATAGAAGTGTTTTCTTTGTGACAAATAAAAACTTGGCAGGAGGGAAGAGTGGGAGTTAAGAACAGGAAAGGTAAACTCACAAAAATGCACGGCAGGGCAGCCGGTGGGGAGTGAGTTCCAGGATAAGCCATGAAACTTCCTGCTTGCTTCAGCAACAAACCCTCATGGCTTTCAAAAAATTTGATTACAACCTGGGCCAGGACTCAGGGGTCCTTAACCCTTCATGCTGCTTAACCTTTGATGCCACTGGCAGGCCTCGAGCTGATAAAGTGAAGGAAGAGTCAAAAGGAAACATAGAGTGGGAGTAAAAGAGAGAAGGGGAAATGAGGAGAGTGTAGGGAGGAAGTGGAAGCTCAAAGTTATCAGTCACTTGACTGCCTGTGACTCTTTGCCTGGCTGAGATTAATGATTTCTTCTCTCTTGGTTTTAAATCAGTCCACTTACGAAACTTCTTGTTGGTTTTTCAAATTTTGTTGTTGCAGTTGCTTTTGGAGGAGGTAATGAATTCAAGCACTCTGAGCAAAGAGGTGAGCGATTTGGTGGAGATGGTCTGGGCGGAAGCTCTCGGCCACCTGGAGCACACACTTCTCCAGCCTGCGAACAGGATTAGTCTCAATGACGTGAGTCACGTGCATCCTCCAAGCAAACCTCTATCGTGACAGACCCGCTTTCTGGCTCACTAGCTTGAATGATAGCACGTGTGTTTGCGCACCGGTCTGGTTGTTCTGGATGCGTTCCTGACATGCTTTTTCATACCTTGGAGAAAGGGAATGTGGAGAGTGCTGAGAGGAAAACAAGCTTCCGGGAAAACTAGATGTTCCTGTCTCTCAAATGTCAGACCCAAGAACTGCTCCAAGCAGGCTTTTCGGTGCCAGCTCTGTAGGAGGCCTGCTCTCCTAGGTCTCGAGGTTTGTGGCAGGCCTGAGGGACAGGGATGCTGTTGGTCCTCAGTCGGATGCTCAGACCCTATTCTGCTTCCGTCACTGCTTCACAGTCTTGGAACTTGTGACTATTGTAGAGAAAGACAGCATGCTTCCAGAAGGTACTCTTCTTAATTTTACATGATTGAAGGAGCAAGTGAAGACAGTATTCCCAGTGGTACATTTGCGTTGTCATAGTAAAATAGTACAGTCTTCTTCTGTGGAACTGAACTAATTTATTTCAGGGAGAAAAAGGTTTCCTGGCACAAGGCTCAAAATGCACTTGTGTAATTAGAAATACATTCTGCTGAATTTTGTTCTTACTCTGATTCTTTCTAAATTTCTAAATTTCTTTCTAAAATCTTTCTAAATTTCTTGTGTGAAAAGCACATCTCCTATGGTTGTGTTAGAATTCCTCTGTCTGTGAATATAGACATAGCTGTGGATGCAGTTGTAGCTATAGATACAGATGTAGATGCGGGTATAGATATAGATACACAGATACAGGTATTTAAGGCTCTGGTTCTCTCCTTTAGTTAAGCTGAGCCCATTTTTGGAAACCTTCTCATGGCATCATTGTCACAGCTGAGATACATCTCCCATAAACGTGGCATTTGTTTTATGGCTGGTGTCCAGTAGAAAACTGATAGTTATGACATATCTAACAACTATTTTAGGTATTTTTATGCATGTTCCTTCACTTTCTCTTTGATTGTAAAGATTCAGTTTTAATAAGAGTATATTGTTGTCCACTTAAAGGTGAGCAAGGCGGAGGGAGTTCTCCTTCTAGTAAAGGCAGCCCTGAAAAATGGAGAAACAGAAGAACAATTGCAAAATATGATGACCGAGTTCTACAGATTAATACCTCACAGAGGCACAGCAACTGAAGAAGTGAACCTGAGACTATTAGCTAAGAAAGAGGACCTCTGCCAGGTAAATCTCTGAAATACAGAATTCAATTTAAAATATGTTGGGGAAGAATCTTTTCAAATCTGATTAATAAGATGGCACCGAATCACAAAAGTTGGCTCAAAAATAAATGCTGAGCCATTTTAGAATGCTTTGGATCCTTATGGAAGTTATCTGAACCATGTTCCCGAACATGAATGTGTTGGAATACTAGTACAAAGGCAGATAGGTTTAGAATTGCTGCACGGTAAAGTAATTTTCTACATTAGGATGATGCCGGCCGGCCAGGTCTGAGGACCCAGAGCGGCTTCTGGCTGCTCACAGGATAGAAATCAGCAGGATTGATGGGGTGCCTGGATGGCTCAGTCAGTTAAGCGTCCAACTTCGGCTCAGGTCATGAACTCGCTGTTCATGGATTCGAGAACCTGCATCAGGTTCTGTGCTGGCAGCTCAGAGCCTGGAGCCTACTTCTGATTCTGTCTCCCTCTCTCTCTGCCCTTCCCCCACTTATCTCCATGTCTCTCTCTCTCTCTCAAAGATAAACATTTTAAAAAATTAAAAAAGAAAGAAATTGCAGGATAGAAATCAAAGGTGGGCCAGCGGGAGGTGAAAGCAGAGGTTACTGAAGGGAGAGAGAGTGCAGGTACAGGCAGTGTCTGGGAGAGGGAATCTTATCTTTGCCTGAGGTCTGGGGTTTCTGTGGAAGGTCGTGGTCTGGTGTACATGTGCTCTCAGGCATGCAGGAACTGCTCAAAACAAAGTGAGGGCTTAGGTGGTGTTCCTTGGAGCCAGGAGGGTTGTGTGAGATATGTAACTCTGGTGATCTGGAATGCGCATATACTGGCTTCTCGGGTCTTCTCACCTGGTCCTTCCTTAGGTATTATCTCTTCTACAGAAATCCTTAACTCCTGGTCCCATACAAGGAGGACATGCACTATTTGCATTCTGACCTGTGTGTAAAGTGGGGGTCCTAACAAGAATAGAAGCAGGAAAAGGAGTAAAAAGCAGATTTTTATGGAGTCCTTCAGTTTCCCTATCTCAAGGAGATGAGTTGGGATTGTGTTTGTAAAAGAAACAGAAAGCTGTAATTGCCTTGAACAATGAGGATACTTACCCCCCTGTATAACAGGAAGCCAGCTGTAGGGTGACTGCTGGTCCAGTCGCTCAAAGGTAGCATTATCATCAGGGGCCAGCTTCTTCCCATCTCTGTGCTCCCTTCTCCACCTGGCTCCCCTTACATCACCTTACAGCTACAGTGCTTCCTAGCATCCCATCCAGAGTATTTCTTTTCTTGTCTCTTAGAGGAGGCTCCCCCTACCCCCTTCAATCCAAAATAAGTGAAGAACCAACAGATGAGATGAACCAGTCCGCACGATGAGAAAGGAGTCTTCCAAATTTAAAGTTTCATGATTTGCCTAACCAGAAGAAAGAACCTCAGTGTCTGGTTTTCGTATTGAGCAGGTGTCTGGGATGCCCATCCAAATGCTTTTTCATTTAACTTTTACATATTTTCAGTAGGTGATGCATCTGCATTATTCAAAAGTCAAAATTATATATTTTTTAAAGTTTATTTATTTTGAGAGAGAGAGAGAGAGAGCAGAGGAGGGACAGAGAGAGAGGGAGACAGAATCCCAAGAGGGCTCAGCGAGGTCAGTCCAGAGCCTGATGCCGGGCTCGTGACCTGAGCCAAAATCAAGAGTCAGATGCTTAACCGACTGAGACCCCCAGGTGCCCGGTCAAAATGATATTTACAAGGAATACTCAGAGTAGTCTCTGTTCTACCCTGTCCCCTCCACCCATTGCAACTCCCCAACTCGATAGATAACCATTTTTACTAATTCGTTTGTCTTTGCAGTTTCTTTATGCACAAAACTGTAAATATTCACATATATACTTATTCCTCTTCTCCTTTTTTTAAATAAAAAGTCATATGCCATCTTTGCTGCTCTGCACCCGCTTTTCCCACTTAACATATTCTGTACATAGAGAGCATCTTCACTCACCACATTGTGGATTGTTTCCGGACTTTGCTACTACAAACAGTGCCACAGTGAATACACTTTTGTATTTGTCATTTCGTACCTTCAGAGGAGTGTCCCTGAGACATGTCCCAGAAATAGAAGTGCTAGCTTACAGGATGAATGCATCTGTAATTGTGATAGATTTTGTCCGATTCCCTCATAAAGGTTCTACTGTTTGCCCACCCATCATCAGCGAATGAGAGTTTCTATTTCCTGTAGTTTTACCACAAGTGTATTTGTCAAACTTTTATAGACTTTACCAATTTCGTGGATGAGAAATGACCTCTCAGTTCCAGGATTTGTATTTAGGGGACATTTGTGTGTCTTTTTCTGTGAACTGCCAATTCATGTCCTTTGCCTCTTTTTTCTTTTGGATCTTGATATTTTTCCATGATTTTTAGGACATCTTAAGAAGTTAGGGAGCTTAGTCTGGGACATGAGTTACAAATATTTGCTACAGTTTATTTGTTTCGTTTTGTTTTGTTCTTTACTTTGCTTGTGGTGAATTGGGGTGATGGTTGACGTGTTCTATTTCACCATACAGAAATTTTTTACTTTTATATAGAAAAATTCATCAGTCTCTTCTTTTCTGGCTGGTGTATTTGAATTGAAATTAGCCCCTCGCCACACCAAGGTCATAAGGATGCATGGCAAGTAGAGTGAATAGGGCTCCCCTGTCAATGTCTCCTTAGCCTCAAAGATGGTGAAAGCAATACATTCCTGTATAAACGTAATTCAGATTATCCAGGAGCTGTGTTCCCTCCTCCAAGCTCCATGACCTATGAGTATACTAAGTATACCAGGGTTCCCTTTCAGGGAAGACACCTGTTTCTTCATCATTTTTGTGTCTTTCAAATCTAATACCAGCCTGGCATAGAGAACATGTTTAATGAATTTTTTGGTAACAGAATTGGACTTGAGTCCTGATGATCTGAGTTCCTATTTAGTCACTATCCCCTTTCTGCTGTGGAGTCATGAGCAATTGATTCAGCTTCTCAGAGCCTCATTGTCCCCATCTATACAGTGAGGATAATAAGATCTAATAAGACCAGTGTAACAGTGTGGATTAAAGGAACAGTGTAGCTGAAAACACTTTATCAACAATGAGGTGCTGTCCTAATGTACACTATTATTATTATTGTATATTATGCTATCACTGAGGGCACAATACATACTAAAGGTATTACCTTTAATGTGCCACTTACATATTGATCAAAATATTGATCAAAAGCTTTGGGGAGGGGCACCTGGCTGGCTCAGTTGGTGGAACATGTGACTCTTGATCTCTCTGGGTTTTGAGTTCAAGTCCCACATTGGGTGCAGACATTACTTAAAAGTAAAACCTTTGGAAGAAAAAAAGCTTTGGGGAAATAAAATCTTATTTTTCCAATCTTTTTGAGAAAGTGTAATGTGCTATAAATATTTTGATATGTAGTGATTCTAACGTCTTACATCATTTCCATCTACAGCTAATAAGAGACATGGTTAATGTCTGTGAAACTAATCTGTCCAGACCCAACCCGCCTTCTCTTGCCAAATACCGAGCTTTGAGATGCAAAATTGAGCATGTTGAACAGAACACTGAAGAATTTTTCAGAGTTAGAAAAGAGGTTTTACAGAATAATCACAGGTATGCATAAAGGAAATGTCTTAGGATCTGTTATTATGTAATACTATTTCAGATTCTGTTAAAAAGCTACTGTCCAGGGGTGCCTAGGTGGCCCAGACGCTTGATTTTTGCTTAGGTCATGGCTCCTGAGTTCAAGCCCCCTGCAGTTGGGCTCCACACTGAGAGGGCGGAGTCTGCTTAAGATTCTCTCTTTCTCCCTCTCCCCACCCCCCACATGCATGCGGGCATGCTCTCTCTCAAAAAAAAAAAAAAAAAAAAAGAAAGCTACTCTCCACAATAACCGGTATGATTTAATCCTCTATAACAAGGTAACTATATTGTGATGACAAATTTCTTTCTTCAGTGTTTACAATATAACTTGGGACAGTATTCTATGCTTGAAAACTCTCCCCATTCACTCTGAGTTCAAGCTTACCTAATCTTGCTGAGAATTAAATTTAAAAATTTTAAATCACAAGGCTTTTTTGTATTTTGAAGGGTGTTATATAGGAAAACCCATTTAAATTAAGATTTTAAAATGCAGCTGTGTGCATGGTAGCTTCCAAGACGCCCACTCAATGGCATGAAAACACTCAGTTGAAAATCTGGAAAACATGGCCAGAGATATGGCACCCCTAACTGTCAGTCACATCCGTTATCTGTTTCCTCACTGATGGTGAGACTCCCTGTTTCTTGTGCTCACGTGTGTTCTACAAGCCAGGACAGCAGCAGGAGCAACAGGAGGCTGGATCAGCCTCTCAGACCAGCCTTCACTGGGTGTTAGTTTCCTCTGAGAGCCTGGACCCAGTTTCAAGGTTCAGAAACTAATTTGATGGATTATTCTTAAGGGTGGGACTGACTTCCATTGGATTGGTCACTCAGCCCACTAATGTAACTTCCTAGCACTCCTCTGCCTGAAGTCTTTCTTCTGGGTGTTTCTGGCATCTCAGCTCTCATTAGGTACAATGGGCCAGGTTAGCCTTAATCAGCCTCACACACTGCTTGGAGCCAAACCACGGGGGCCATTTGTTACATTTTTAGGAATTTTGTGAGCTGAATACCATTAGTAACTTGACATCGGCTGTGGTGGGAGGATTTATACCATAGAAACCAGCAAATGCCACAAATCGGGGTCCTGTGTGGGTTTTGCTATTGCTTTGAGAACTGGTTTTCCGGCAGCTAGCTAGAAGCACCCCCATTATGGACTAATTCAGACCTGTCTAAAACGGTGTTCTGCCTTCCTTGATCAGTTGCCCTCAAATGCCATTACTAGCGTTACTTCACACCCACCAAGATGGCTGTATTTTTTTTTTTTTTTTTGAGAAAATGAAAATATGGGTAATTACAGTGTTAGGGAGGATGCGGGGAAATTGGAACTCCCATAAAATGGTGCAGCCGCTGTTTGGTGGTTCCTCAACAAATTCAGCACAGAATTATTGTCTGCCCCAGCGATTCCAGTCCTCGTTAGATACCCCAAAGAAGTGGAAACAAGTACTCAAACAGATACGGATACATGAATGTTCATAGCAGCGCTATTCACGATAGCCCAACGGTGGAAACAACCCAAATGTCCATCAGTGGTTGAAAGGATTAGCAAAACGTGATTATGTACACATAATGGAATGTTAATCACCAAAAATGAGTGAGGTACTAATACATGTTACAAGATGGGTGAGTCTCAAAAGCATTATGCTAAGTGAAAGAAGCCAGACATGAAAGACCACATATTGTATGATTTCATGTATGTGCAATATCCATGGAGACAGAAAGCAGATTGCCAGGCTCCAGGAGAGGGAAGACTGGGGACCGACTGCTAAATGGGCATGGGCTGTTCTTCTGGAGTGCTGAAATGTTTAAGTAGAAGCGGTGGCTGCACATTTTAATATGCTAATTATTACGGAACGGTATACTTCAAAAGGGTTAGTTTTGTGTTATGTGACTTTTACATCAGTTAAAAAAATCCTTTCCTTTAGATCTTTTCCAGATTTTGCTTTTATATATAATCAAATTACTTTTACTTCTTTTGATTTGACTTTTGACCCACCCCTAGATATCTGCTAGGATCTAACACTAAATTAGAAACTACTAACAATGAAGGCAGAATCAGGAGGGGAGTAACTGACTTTCTCCAGGGAGTCAAAGAGAAGGAAGAGCCATGTCTTCAAGCCCTGGGGAGGGGGGTGCAGTTCAGTCATCTAATGTAACTCAAGCCCTTAGAGATCTCACCTTGCACCCTAGTAATGTCATACAACAAAAGTGGACCTCTCTGTGTGGAGAGATTCTGCTGCTGTTAAGAAGCACTAGCAGAAGAAGCAGAAGAAGAAGGAAAAGAATAAGCAGAAGCAGGAGAAGGAGAAGAAGATTTTCTCCATTTCATTTCACTAATGATGATTTTTTCTAGTTACAAAATTCATGTTCTTTGCTGAAAGTTTAGACAGTGTGTGAAAACATGAAGAAAATTAAAGATCACCCAAAATCTCACCACCCAGAGATAACCCAGAGATAACATGACCACTGTTAACATTTTGGTGTAGAATAAATATATCCCAAATTGAATTATTGATTCTTCTCCTCACCTAGTGGTGTGTTGGTAAGCCAGCTCTCTGAAATAAAAGTCCTGACTTGTAACAACTGCTGATTTCTGTGGTATAAAAATGCTCCCACCATAGCTAATCTTAGGCTACCAATGTGACACCAAGAAACATGGAGTTGGGAAGACATACTGGATGGACTCTCCTACCCCCTCCACCCCACAACTCCGTCCCTCCGTAGTCCCCCAGTCTTTCCCCATGCCTCCCCATCTAGTCACCCACCCAGAGCCATTGTCAACTGTCCCTCATCCCCACATCTCCATTCCTGTCACTTCTGCCTCCAAAATGTCTGTAATCCATTGGCTTCTTTCGTTCACACTGCTGCCACCTTCAGTCCAGACACCGTTGTCTCATCTCCTTCCTAACGTTCTTCCCACTCCTGCCGCATCCAATTAATTTTCCCATAACAACCAGTTAAGTCTTAGAATACACACTGTATTATGCCATGTTGCAGTAAATGTCACCTTCAAGGATAGGCCTTTCTTGACTATCCCGTCTCTGAACCTGGTAGAGTAGAACTTAAAATCAGTTATTTGTTAACTTTTCATTTTTGTCTCGCCATTAGGATGTAAGCCCCGTGAAGCCAGAAACCATGCTATCTCACTTCTAGTGCCTGGCAGAACACTCAGCACAGAGTGTATTTGTGAATGATTGAGTGCAATGAATTCAAGCTATTTAATCTATATGTTATATATTTGAAAAACTTTGGGATCATACCATGCATAAAGTTTTGTAACCTATTTTTAAAATTCATTTTACAACAAGTCTTACTTCATATACTTATTTATTTTTTAAGAGTGTGATTTTTTTTAATGGCTACATAGTATTTGCAAGAAATGTTATGTTGTGACTCACAGAATCCATTCCATAATAATGGACGTTTGGGCTGTTTTGGGTTTTCTCCTGCTAATAATGATTTTTTATTTTACTTTCGATTGTACAGTCTCAAGATTTTTCTTCTGCTTTTTACAGTACAGGTCCAGTAGACATCTTGCAGATATTTAGAGTTGGCAGAGTGAATGAAGCCACAGAGTTTTTGAGCCAGCTTGGCAATGTGAAGTCCTTACTGCATGGATCTCCCGTACAAAGCTTTGTAGGGATCCTGTCCCGGTAAGAGGACACCATCTTTATTTTCCAAATGTTTCAGCCTCACGAACATGAAGTGTTTTACCCTTTTTCCTACTTTTTTTATACCCTACCTGGGTTTCTTCAGTTAAAACCAGTTTATTGCATTCCAGAGAAAACTGAGCCCTTTAAATTATAATTAAATATAATTTATTTATTATTATATGTATTTTAAAGTGTAGTACACGGGTATGAATTGCTTCTTGAAGACAGTATCATATGAAGAAAGGAGATTCTCTATTTCATGGCTCTTCTGTGTGTCTAATTTGGGAATGTCCAATACTTAAAGAGAAGGGTCTAGAAATTAGAGTACCTAGATGCTATGAGTTATCTATTCAAAACGTAACTCTAATTTCTGTTTGCTTTGAATAATCACTTAATATTAGAGCCAAACTGCAGTCACAGAGAGCAGGGGAGAATATGATTACATCTGGGTCCTTAACTAAATACCTAAGAGGAAACATAAAAGGAAATATACAGGATACATCTAGAAAAAACGTTCAACTGCTGTTGAAGGACCCAAAAGACACTTACATTAATCGGAAGGATGCCAAGTTTCCTTAAATTAACCTATAAATTTAGAGCTATCACAATAAAAGTGCTAACAAGATGTTTTTTTTAAGAAATAAAAAGCTGAGGGGCGCCTGGGTGGCTCAGTCGGTTGGGCGTCCGACTTCAGCTCAGGTCACGATCTCGCGGTCCGTGAGTTCGAGCCCCGCGTCGGGCTCTGGGCTGATGGCTCAGAGCCTGGAGCCTGTTTCCGATTCTGTGTCTCCCTCTCTCTCTGCCCCTCCCCCGTTCATGCTCTGTCTCTCTCTGTCCCAAAAATAAATAAACTTTAAAAAAAAAAAAGAAATAAATAAAAAGCTGATTATACTGCACATATTTTTTTTAATTTGACTTTGCCAGAGTAATTTTGAAAAAGAAGATTAATGAGGAAGAATTAACCAGACACTAAAAACATGTTATAAAACTGTGTTAATTAAAACAGTGAGGTGTGCCCAAAAAGATGATTCTACAGAATAAAGAATCCAAAAGTAAATGCAAAAACATAGAGGGTTTAGTACATGATAAAAGTAGCTTTTATTTCTGTGGAAGAAAGATAATTTCTTCAATACTATGTATTGGGACAGATTAGTACCTGGAAAAATACAAAGTTGGATCCTTACCTCATTCCTCACACGTAGATAAACTCCACATGGAACAAAGATTGAAAAATGAAAATATAAAGGTACTAATTGAAAAATAGGACAGCTTTTTTAATAACCTTTAAGTAGGACTAAAACCCAAAAACCACTTTACAAAGGTAATTACATTTCATAACACAAAATTCAAACTGGAGATGTTCATGTAATAAACGCAGAAGTCTCCCTTTACCCACCTTCTCAGAAACAACAGGGTTTAACTTTGATTGCAGAGAGTTCTTAGCAATGCTAGAAGGCCTGCAGGATATGTGTAAGTTCTTGAGCCAGGGAGAAACGCAGTCAGCATTGGGCCTAAACATGGTTCTGCTGAGCGCTCGACCTTGGCAGGTTGGAGTCAGAGCCCTGACCCAAGGCAGGAAGAATGGCCAGCACCTCCAGGCTGGTCAAGACAGGGATGAGAAACTGACCATAGATTGGTACATGTGAATAGCACCTAGAAATCCTTCTGTGAGATTACTTTGAAATACATTTTTCTTTTCATTTCATGCTCTTTATTTATTTGTCTTTTTAATTGGTGTCTTTTTTCCAGCTTTATTAAGGTGTGATTGACAAATGATAATTGTATATATTTAGGTTGTACAAGGGGATTTTTTTAAATGCATAACATGATGATTTCGTGTACATGTATATTGTGAAATGATTATCACAATCAAGTTAACACATCCATCACTTCATATAGTTGTCTTTTTTTCTTGTGGTGAGAACATAAGGTCTACTCTTAGCAAAGATAATTTATTTTTATTCTTTATCTTAGAACTGAAAGTTTATACTCTTTAGCCAACAACTCCCCATTTTCCCCAACCCCCACCTCCTAGAAACCACCATTCTGCACTCTGATTCTGAGTTCGACTTTTCTAGATTCCACATATACGTGAGGTTATGCAGTATTTATCTTTCTGTGTCTGGCTTATTTCACTTAGCATAATGTCCTCCTTGAATAGCACCTGTCTTTGCTAGAATTATGACCCTATAATTAAAAATACCCTTTCTTTTAGTAAATCATTTTAATGTCCTTTTCTTTTTAGTGGGTTGCTTTTACCCAAAGTAGTTGAAGATCGTGGCACAAAGAGAACAGACACTGGAAATCTTGGGAGTGGGGTATATTTCAGCGATTCACTCAGGTTAGTATATTACATATACTATACATGATGTCTTAACCATGTTACTCACACCCGTCACCAAGGATTTATACCCAAGTAGTTGCTATGTGGTTTCCTCCATCTTTCCTTTGTAAGGGATTTCTCATCCAAGAAACATATCGGTGAAAGCAACCAGTTTTCTCAGTATACCATAGAAATATGTCTTTTGTGGTGGATATTTGGGAAAATTTTATTTTAAATCACCTTGATTTTACTATCCTGAGAGTCTTTACATATATTTACCCGCTTAATCCTTACAACAACCCTCTTAGGTCAGTTCTATTATTATCCCCTATCACAGATGAGAACACTGAGGGACAGTGAGGGTATCTTGCCCAAGATCACATAGCATTTTGTCTTTCTCCAGGACCAGTGATCTTAACTTCTATAGCACATGACCTCTCATGTGCTTATACACATTATATACACAACTTATCATTTACACAACTTAAGTTGTGTCTTATCTATTGTAAATGAACTCTATGTGTATAGAATAATATTTCATCTTCAATATCCTTGTTAATATTTAAATCTGTCCCCACAATAGCCACAGGGTATTAAACACCTGCCCTGTGCAAGGCACCGGACTAAGTCCTTCACGTACATTGTCTATAAACCTCACAGGTGGTATTGTGACATCATTTCGTGACAAGGAAACAGATTGATGGAGGTTAAGTAACTTGCATAAAGTCACAGAGCTAGTTAAATGATGGAGCCTGGGTTCAGGCCAGGCCAGGATAATTAATTATCCAGGATATTTCAGGAATTCCTATGAAAATCCGTAAGAAAAAAATAACTCAAAAAGCAAATGGACAAAAGACATGAGTAGGAACCTAATAGAAGAGGAAACACATGGACAGTGTCATATGAAAAGGTTACTAATCAATAATATGCAAATTCATCTATCATATACCATTTAATACCTATCAGCAAAAAAAAAAAAAAAAAAAAAAAAGCAACAACTCTAGGTGTTGGTAAGTCTCTAGAACAGTCTGAACTCTCAGACACTGTCAATAAACTGATAAGCCCTCTTGAGGAAATGCTGGCATCATCTGCTGTAGTTGAAGAGCATAATTAATGGTGTGACTTAGGAATCCTATAGATTGGACTAGGAACCAGGAAGCAGCGGTTCTCAATCCTGGCTACACATTCAAATCACCTGGAGATTTTATTTTTATCTTTTTATGTTTTTTACTTGAAGGACTTTCTTTTAAAGTTTTCATTCAAATTCCAGCCAGTTAACACAGCGTGATGTTTGTTTCAGGTGTACAGGTTAGTGATCCAACATGTCTGTGCAACACCCAGTTCTCATCACAAGTGCCCTCCTTAATCCCCATCACCTATTTCACCCATCGCCCCACCCACCTCCCCACCTGGAGGAGCTTTTAAACACCACTGGTGCTGATTTCACCCCAGATCAGTCAAATCAGGATGTCTAGGGGTGAGGTTTTTAAGCTCCCTGGATGATTCAGCCTGAGTTGAGAATCACTTCCCTAGTGAGTCTACATAGACCAGGAGACATGTACACAGATGGCTAAGAAAACTGTAAGATCACTGGAAATGATGCAGATGTCCAATAAGAGTGGAATGGATCCAAAAATTTTGGTGTCGGCCTACATGGAGTCCTATATGGCAGTTGAGACATGTGTACTACAGCTACACGTGCCAAATGGAGGAGTCTTAGGAAGGTAACGTGGAGCAAATAATTGCTCTATGATTCTATATGTATAGAGTTTGAAAACAAGCAAAACTAAGCATACTGTTGAGGGACACGTATCTATGCATCAATACTGTAAAAGAAAGAAAAAATAATATACACATAAACACAAGATAGCGATCAGATTACCCTCTGGGTGGCAGGGAAGGTAATGCCACAGGGCAACGTAGAAATATTGATGATGTTCTTTTCCGTTTTTTTGTTGTTGTTGTTGTTGTTTCAGTGTTCATTTATTGTTGAGAGACAGCGGGCACACGTGCATACATTTGCAGAACAGGGGTAGAGAGAGAGAGAGACAGTGGATCCAAAGCTGGCTCATACTGACAGCAGAGAGACCGATGCAGAGCTTGAACTCACTAACCATGAGATCATGACCTGAGCCAAGGTCGGGTGCTTAACCAACTGAGGCACCCAGGCACTCCTGTTCTTTTCTGTTTCTTAAACTTGGCAGGAGCTATGTGGTTGTCTGTCTTATCATTGTTCTTGAAACTTAACACTTATGGTATAAATGCTCTTTCCTCTGTACAAATCTTTCAAAGTAAAACTTTTTTAGATGTTAAGATTTTTTTTTTTTAACAAATTGGGATTCCATTGAATTTAACCAAGTTGAAGTCCTTGGTGACTTTGGGACTTTGGACAGAGTGGTTTCAGTTGAGCCAAACTGCAACAGGCTGAAGGGTGATGGGCAAGCAAGCAGATAGAGGCAGCCATTGAGAAAGGTGGGGGATGGAGAAGGAGGAAGCGGAGGTAAAGTCAAGGGTCACAGGCTCAGCAGTCACAGGGAAACAAGTTTTAGGAGAAATGGGGGAAATTGATTATTTTTTTTAAGGGGACAGGTCTTGGGGCACTTGGAAAGCACAGTCGGTAGAGCTCGCAGCTCTTGATCTCTGGGTTGAAAGTTCGAGCCCTGCGTTGGGTGTAGAGATTACTTAAAAATAAAGTATTGTTAATATATAAAATTTTTTTTTAAATAAAAGGGAGTAAGTCTTAGGGAGCTTGGGTGGCTCAGTCAGCTGGGTGTCTGACTCTTGATTTCTGCTTGGGTCATGATCTTGCAGTCGTGGGATTGAGCCCCATGTCGGGCTCCCCACTGATCGTGGAGCTTGTGGGGACTCTCTCTCCCTCACCCTCTGCCCCTCCCCACTTGTGCATGTGCGTGCTCTCGATCTCTCTCTCTCAAAAAAAGAGGGGGAAGTCAAGTCTTAGAGGGGATAGAACAAAGGGTCTTCAGGCAACACTTTTATATTTGGGTCTTGATATTTGGAAAAATAAAGATATGTCCCAAAAATGTTGCTTCCAAAGGTGTCCTAGCCTATGCTCCTTAATAACAAGAGTTGCTTTTTTTTTAAGTTTATTTATTTAAGAGAGAGAGTGAGCATGGGAGGGCAGAGAGAAAAGTTGCTTTTTTTAAAGCTGCTGAGTCCTGAAGAAAGTCAAAACAAAATCTCTCATTTAGATGTTGTTTGAAGTTTTGTTTCTCCATCTGGATTCAGAAGGCTTTGTGAGAATACCAGTGCTGTCTTTCCCTTTGACCAGTTCTTACTTACCTGGTATTTCATGTTCCCTCTGAGCTTCAGTGCACAGAAGTAATCTGCTCTTTCTTAACTAATAAGATGGGGGGTTTTCCTTATCTTTTGTCACTTTGGTGTTTGCTGTACCAAAATGTGTGTGTTTTAGTAGTTAATAAAGATTTGAGGCAACAGGGGAATGCATCCATCCCTGAAAGAAAGTACTTTGAACTACCTGCACAACAGAAAGGCAACATCTGAAACAAGTAAGTGAATAATAAAGTTCTAAACTGACCCTTCAGAGATATTTTAATAGCCGTAAAGTCTGGAACATCCTGCCAGCAAAGTCATTGAGACAATATTTCACATATAGAGATGGATAATGGATACTAAAATATTATTGCCATGTAACCGTAAGTCACAAACACGTACTTCCTTTCCCTCGCAGTACGGGTATTAAGTACTCCCACCCGGGAGAGACCGATGGCACCAGGCTCCTGGCTGTCTGTGACGTAGCCCTTGGAAAGTGTGCAGACTTACACAGAAAAGACTTCTCCTTGTCGGAAGCACCACCAGGTTATGACAGTGTCCATGGGGTTCGAGCAACAGCCACTGTCACCACGGACTTCGAGGTATTTATTTCAAGAAACAAGCAGAGAGCTCCTGGTTTTATTGAATATGCTTAAGTTTAAATAATTATTGCATATTTATGGCTGCCTGAATTCAATATTTTCTAAATTAGCAAACCTGCAAATCTGCTTTTCTGAAAACATTTGTCAATAAAGGATTTGTCCCCATACCTATTAATTTCTGTTGGTTCTAGGATGATGAATTTGTTGTGTATAAAACCAATCAGATTAAATTGAAATATATCATTAAATTTTGCCTACCCGGAGATGAAATAAAGGACTTTCATCCTTGTAATACTACTGAATTAGAAGAATCCAGACCTGAGTTTTCAAATTTTTCAAAGGTTGAAGGTAAGACAATTTTCTTGAATGCTGTTTTATGTGATATTTAGAGAACTCAAACATTTTATTCTTAGAGGAATTTATGTTTATGTTCAGTAACTGTATCTGGGAACTCATACATAAATATTCTATTTCCTTTTTTACTTTGTAGGAGTAAAAACCAGGATACTTGAGAGAGGTTAGGTGTTCTCAAAATTACATCTTACTTTCCTAACATACCGCGTTGAACTCTCACACCTGCAGACAGCCAGGGCCACAAACCCACTGAAGCAATTTAAGATGCCAAGTGCAAGAAGTGTCAGGGGGGTTGGTGGAGTAGACAAGAGACACAGCTTTAGAACCAGGAAGCCCAGGTTCTAGTGTCGACTTGCTGATTACTAGGCTGTGCAATATGGGACAAGCTGCATAAGCTTCTGCAGCCTCAGCTTTTCTGTGTTGAGTATGAGATCAGTATCTGCCTCAGGTGAAGGCATCCCCCCAAGGTTGTCATATGCAGCTTTGTAGAAATACATGAGAGGATGGGAGCTTCTCAGAAAATCAGAAGCCCACACCATTTATCACATTTATTATAGCATTGTCAAAACACATTAACATTTTCAACTGTGATCCAATTATTTTTTATCAGAAATGTATGACTTCACATATAAGCAAATGACTCCTGTTTTCTGTCCTAGAGCTGTTAAATTAAATATCTGTCAAGAGAGTATATATTTACATATCTAACTATATGTGTATTCTTGTACCACCTGGTATAGAAGGGGAGCTTTTTTTTTTCATATGCTATATTAGAACTTTGATTTAGCGGGGCGTCTGGGTGGCTCAGTCGGTTAAGCGTCTGACTTCGGCTCAGGTCGTGATCTCCTAGCCTGTGAGCTCAAGCCCCACGTCAGGCTCTGTGCTGACAGCTCAGAGGCTGGAGCCTGCTTCAGATTCTGTGTCTCCCTCTCCCTCTGCCCCTCCCCTGCTTTTATTTTATTAAAAATATATTTTTTTTAAAGTTTGATTCAGTGTTCCTTGGGTTGAATGTCTAAGCAGTCTCATATTGGTCTTACATGCTTCTGTGGCACAATAAATGGTAGTGACCAATCAAAATTGCAGGCCAAGGAATGCATTATCTAGATTCATGAATAAACTACACTTATTTAAATAGTCTTAAGACTTGTGTGCTTGTGTATATGTTTAAATGTATGTCTTTCAAGTAATTGCATGATTCTAAATTTTCAAGATGACTCCTCAGAATCTGTAGATTAAAAAGTTAATGTGTCGGGGCGCCTGGGTGGCGCAGTCGGTTGGGCGTCCGACTTCAGCCAGGTCACGATCTCACGGTCCGTGAGTTCGAGCCCCGCGTCAGGCTCTGGGCTGATGGTTCAGAGCCTGCAGCCTGTTTCCGATTCTGTGTCTCCCTCTCTCTCTGCCCCTCCCCCGTTCATACTCTGTCTCTCTCTGTCCCAAAAATAAATAAATGTTGAAAAAAAAAAATTAAAAAAAAAAAGTTAATGTGTCTATTATAAATGCTGCCCCCATTTTTCTCATATGGGTTCACTTACTTTACAGAATTGAGTACTGAAAATCATAAAATGCTACTTGTCCATTTTTCTGTATAAATATACATTTTCTGTATAAAATATACTGTATGAAGGGGGAAGGGAAAGAAATAAAGATTAAGATAACAAAGATAGTGCAGGGATGGTCTTAAAAGCTAACATTATAATTTTTAATATAGATTATCAGTTACAAGATGCCAGACCTTTCGGCAACATCAAGTCTGGCCTTCAGGATTTCTCTGGCAATTCAGTTCCTCTTGAGGAGGTTCACATCAAAGGAAGAATAATAGACTTTGTAGCCCAGGTATGTCTTTGTGGGTTTATGATACTTTAAATGGATATGAGTCATAAATGACAATTTGATTATAGTTGCATGAATTAAAATGTGCATTTCTTTTCCTTTCATGTTTGTTTATTTATTTTGAGACAGAGAGAGAGAGAGACTTGTACAAGTGAAGGAGGGGCAGAGAGAGAGGGAGAGATGCCCAAGCAGGCTCCACGCTGAGCCCCAACACAGGGCTCGCTCTCACAACTGTGAGATCATGACCTGAGCTGAAATCAAAAGCCAGAGGCTCAATGAACTGAGCCACCCAGGCACCCTGAAATGTGCATTTCTAAAATTCGTTTATTCATTGAGTACCTACTACATACCGACTGTTCCAGGCTCTAGGCATGCAGCAAGGAACAAAAGAAAAACTCTGCCCTGATGGAGCATACATTTTATTGGAGGATAGGCAGTAAACATTGTAAATAAACAGAGTGCATCATATGTAGATGGTGGTAGGTGCTAAAGAAGAAAGTCTAAGCAGGGGGAGCTGCAGGGGGCATGGGAGCCTCAGGAAGGGTGGGAGCCACAGGGAGGGTGGGAGCCTGGTTGGGGGCGGGGGGAGGTGGGAGCCGCACAGGATGGGGG